TGGGGAAACAGTGTGTGAGAAGGGGAAAGAGGAGTGACCAACACAGTAAGTCCCTAAAATTAGAAGACAGTAATATTCAGGCAACAGGCCAAGGGATTAGCTGAAGTCAGCGAGGGCAACCTTTCCTCTAACACTAGAGGAAAGAGGGTAAGAAAGAAGACAGAGAAGTTTGCAAGTAAATGGAGAGGAAACAGAGTTCATGCCTTTTTTTCCCCTATAGGCGACAGGTAAGATTTTATGCCAAGCATGGGGCAGAGGGGAGGCTTGAGCACAAAGTGGTCGAGATTTTAGAAACGCCACTGTGGAGAAAGGGGAGAAAACTGAGCAGAACTGCTTCAACAGATACCCAAGACAGACTCAGGGCAGACCTAAGCCTGTACACTGATCATGCACTAAGCCCAGTACTGTGTGACGTTTCTCCAGGACACAGACTAAAAATGGAGGATACGGATGATAGAAATGATGGAAGGCTGGCATCGGCATAGTGGGTCTTGCAGAATAATAAAGAATAATTAAAAACTGCAAATGCTAGAAGAAAATAACTGAAGTAGTACACCCCAGAAGTCACAGTAGAGAAAGGAAAGACAAAGAAGTTAAAATCCAGAAAAGGCTGATCGTCCAGGAGACTTGAGTTGGAAGCACACACAGAAAGAGACTACAGAAGCGAGAGCTATAAATTATGGGAGTTTAAGATCTGAAGACAAATTCAAGATCTTCGGTAGATCTGAGGGTGATGACCTGTTAAAAGATGTGGCCAAAATACTGAGTTACTGGAACAGAATGAAACCAACGTTTGCTTGGGCAGAAGTCAAGGCACTTTTAAGGTTAAGGGTAGTTACAAAGTAAGCTCAGCACAATGGTTGGTTACTTACTACTTTCAGTGACCTGAGGAAGACCACCTCTGTTTCAGTTTCTTCATCTGTAAAATGGGGATAATAGTATCTATCTCATATGGTTGTTGTAAAGACAAAATTAGTGAATACGTGTAAGGTGCTTAGAAAACACTCTGGCACATAGAAAGAGCCTGACATGAGTAACCTATTCTATCATTAATGTTGTTATTGTTTATACAGTCACTCAAACCTGACAGGATGATGTCAGAAATTCAGATGGACAGGAGAACTAAGTCAAGTATCAAAGTCATCAAGCAGAGCAATAGTACAGGATGGTGTACGAGGGGGGACCCAACAAAACCGGAATTATCTTTTAGAGGGTGGGCCCCATGTACAATAGTTCAGGCTTCCCCCACCAGGTGAGTGTTCTGGGAACCCATCTGGACCAGCGAACCAGTTGGTGGTGTTGTGCGAGGCCGCATTCAGCTTCGGCAAATTGTTTTTGAGACCTCTTCCAACACGCCTGCCCATTTCATGATGGGTGATTTACAAGCACACCTGCACACGCTGCGCTGAGTGTTCAGCAGTTTTTGACCCAAACACAGCATGACCTGCGTGCCCCACCCTCCCTGTTCACTGGATCCCACCACGAGCAATTATTTTTTGCTTCCCCGGACGAAAAAAGTCCTCAAAGGGAAATGTTTTGCCTGTGTGGAGGGAGGGAAACAAAAAACCTGCAGAAGCGCTAACAGGCATCAAAATCTCCAAGTTCAAACACTGTTTTGAGCAGCGGGAAAAATGCCTCCATAGCCCTGGCTGGTATAGCTCAGTGGATTGAGCGTGGCCCTGCAAACCAAAGGGTCGCTGGTCTGATTCCCAGCCAGGGCACGTGCCTGGGTTGCAAGCCAGGTCCCCAAGGAGGGGCACGTAAGAGGCAACCACACACTGATGTTTCTCTCCTTTCTCCCTCCCTTCCCCTCTCTGTAAAAATAAACAAAACCTTTTATAAAAAGTCTCAATAGGTATATTGCCTCAAAAGGAGAGTACTTTGAAGATGACTGAAGTTTGAACATGTAACAATAAAATATACAATTTTTAATAAATAAATTCTGGGTTTTGGGGGGTCCCCCTTTGTAGATTAATGATATGCTTTGGTAAAGATAATGGGATATCATTAGAAATATTTTAAAACCTATTATTTACAATCTTATGACTTAAAATATATACACAAACCACCACAAAACAATCAGAGAAGTACCAACTGAGTATTAGACAATGAGTATTATAAGGGGAAAGGCTCCAACTGAACATCATGGAACACCACCATGGCCCGGGCAGCAGCGCACTAAATTGCACTAAAACAGAAAAAAGGTGGAATCACCTTATCTTACTATATCTTTACGAACGGTAAACTGTAAGGTCCTTGAAGGTAAAGAATTAAATCTCCATGTGCACTCTCAATTCATTAGTAATGAATGTCATAAAAGTGAGCATAAATGAATCACTGGACCATTAACCCAAAAGTCAGAGAGAGGTCCAAGGCACCTTCTGTAGTTTTTTTTCCTATCACACTTACATCGGTTGCATTTCTCTTCCATGCTAATGAGCTGCATACAAATAAGTTCTAAACGTATTTACATTTATTCACATTCTTTTGTGGACTCCAGAAACTCACCAGCGTATGTTCCAATTAGGCCATCTTTCAAAGAGAACTACATGAAGTAGACATGCTATACCTTTCACTTCAGAGTCTTCTGAAATTATATCCTATCAGCTTACAAGACCAAAGGGATACGCTTGGGCCTGGAGGAGACCTGCGGTGATGAGCAGCCTGGAGAGGGGTTTACCCCTTTGCAATGCAGGCAGGGGCCCATTGTTGTCCTTTACTTTGCACCCAGGTCAAGCCGACAGCAGGGAAATGGGCTAGAAAGCTTTGGCTGCGGAGACACTCTGTTAGCATTCTTGGGAGTTTATTCCCTACACAAATTCAAAGTGGGAAAGAGAGAGAGAAAGGAAAACTGCATTCACATCTGATCTGAAAAGGAAAAACAGTTTGTTCTAAGCCTTAGAAGCTGTACTTAATTGGATAAATTTTGGAAAAACATTCATGAGGGCAGAGCCGCACAGATTCATAAAACCTTGCCTCCAAATCAGATCCGCAATCAGGTCTGATTTTAGCAAATGCTGCAAATATATTTAACCACAATTCTTCAGACTTTTTTTTAACTAATAAAGTAACTGTAAAAATTTAATACTTAAAAGTATTTCTTAATTGGGGCGTGGAATTTTAAAACAGACATTCTGTGCTTTTCTTATATTAATAAAAAATTAATTTCTGTTGAAGCCCTTGATTCATCCATGTTTTAAAAAGGAAGCTTAATAATAAAATATAGTGTTACGATTTTTCTTAGAAAACATCCTCTGAAATTTAAAACATTTTTCAACTTCAGAAGTTATAGGAATTTCTGCACTAAGAAACGGACTCTGAATGAAAGCACGGGACACAAAGAAGGCACGCCACGCTCCGGGTCCCGGCCACATCTAGGGCGCAGGAAGAAACCGACTCACGGGCTCACCCCGAACGCGGTCGGTGATCATTTCCAGATCTGCCTCGCAATGCCCAGCACGTGTGCGAGCCTCATGTGCCACCCTAAACGGGACATCAACAACCGTCCCATAACCCAACAGCCAGGCCAAGTTCGTTAGAAAGCATCAGCTCACTTCTTAAAGAACCTGAGCTAAGACTTTACTATGACTAAGCTACGCTGCTAGAATGCCAGCCTCTAAACAAGACACCCACCACGTCACTCAAGAGCTGCTCAGACCCAAGCCCCGTACCTTCGCCAGGCTCAGGCAGGCCCATCTGTGTGACACAAAGCAAAATGTTCCATGTCCACAGAACAGCTGCCGAGGGCAGGGAGCGAGGGATCTGTTGACACTCTAATTTCAGCCACCTCGAAATTCCACAAAGATGACAACCTGCGCCCTCAGAAGTGCTGCTGCCGCCCCCCCCCCCACCGTCAGGACACCCCGGCTGACCAATCGCCGGAGGCTGAGCCGCCCCGAGAACCGACCCCTCCAGGGCCACCGACTGAGGCCCCATCCCGGGCCACGGGCCCCACTCAGCAGCCCTCGGACCTGTATGCACACGGGCGGCATCACGAGCGCCCGCTCCCTCCGCGGCCCTGGCCGTCGGCGACGAATCCACACTCGGCATTTCACCCCAGCAAGAAGGGCATCTTGAAGACACTTTCCCTTGGAAGCTCAGGAAGCACTCCCCGAGGAGGAAAAGTGGTGTTGGAGTTGCATTCCGGTCGGAGGGCCTGGTGTTGCCTGAACAATGACTGGCTTGCCCGAGCAGCCTCCCAACCCCCCCCCCGCCCCCCACAGCTCGGCTTCTGGCGTGGCGAGTCACCCTGAAGGCTGCCAGGGCTGTCACCAGGTGCCTTCCAGCAACAGGACTCGGCTCCTGAAGGATTTGTCAGATCATCCTCCCAATATGGCTGCCAGAGCAATCCCGGGCCGCGAGCGCCGAGACCACGGCCGCCGGCTCGGGGCTGGCCGGCCTCCAGCGAGCCCCCTCCCTCCGTCCGTCGCCGCCGCGAGTCCCCTCCCCAGTCCTTGCGCCGCCGGCTTTCCCCAGCCACCCCATGCCCTCTCCAGCCTCCGTCTGGCAAAAGGGCGCCGCCGCATCCCCGGCCGAAGCCCCGGCGCCGACCACAATAGGGGAGCGGGACGAGGGACACCAGGAAGGGGGGGGCTTCGAAAGGGAGCGGCGCCGTCCGCACGGAGCTGCATTGCGCGCGGAGCCGCGGGAACCGACCGAGAGCGGCGGGCCTGCCGGCCGCGGGGCACAGCCCGGGCCTGGCAGCTGCAGGGGAGCGGAGGGCTGGTGCGGGGCGCTGCGGGGACCCAGCAGGCCGCTGGACCCCAGCCCGGGGCTCGCCGCTAGTCTGGGGAGGGTCCCCCACTCCCCGAGGGCGAGGCTCCCCCACCCCACCCCACCGGGGGCCCCGGGGGGGCAGCACCCTCAGGGTGGGTCGCTCCCGCCCCGCCCAGCGCCTCCCGCGCTCCGACACCGCCCGGACCCCGGCCCGGCCGCCCCTCCCCCCCGAGACCGACCCTCCACAACCCGGCGGCGGCAGCGCGAACGGCCGCCCGCCTTACCTCAGCCGCGCTGGGGACTGACGGGCGGTCAGGCGGGCCGGCCGGCCGGGTCAGCAGGCGCCGCGGCGTGCGGGGGCGCGGGGGGCCGAGCACCGACGCTCCTCAGCGCGAGCAGCGGCCGCCGCGAGCCGCAGGGCACCTCTTCGCAGCCCCATCACGCAGCGGCCCGCTCCCGCATCGCGGGCCCGGCAGCGCAGGGGACCGGGGCGCAACGAAGGGCCGGCGATGGCGCCTGCGGGGGGTGAGGAGGGGCTCGCACTCGCGCCGGTGCCTCCCAAGACCGCCGCCGTCTGACTGCCCGGAGTCGGTCTTCGCAAAGCTCCGCCCGCAGCCGGCGGCGCGGGACACCGCCCCAAGCCCAGCAGCCGTGCGTCACCTCGGCCCGCCCCGGCGTCCGCGACTGACGTGGCGGCGACCAATCGGAGCGCAGGGCTCGAGGTGGCCGACCAATCGCAGGGAGAGCTGGAGGGGGTTGCTGCGGCCGGGAGCTGTGGAGTCGCTGGGCGCCCCCTAGTGGCCTAGACGTCGGCTGGCGTGTGGGAGTGCTGGGGTGCGGGGTGGGCGAAGCCGGCGCCCAGCGTCTCCTCCCCGGTGACCCCCCGAAGGGCGTTAGGCGGCAGCAGCCGCGCCCGGCCAACCGGATGATCCGCCTTGTAAGCGGACAAAGCTCGGCTAAGTGGGGCGGGGCAGGGCTGGCGGGGGCCAGATGCCTGCGGAGGAGCCGAGGTAAACGTGGGAGGCGGTCGAGTGCGGAATGTTTGGCAGTTTGGGAAACATTTCTCACGTTGAAGCCGCCGAGCGCGGCGCAGTCGGAGCTGAAACACGCACAGGGATGAATGTATTCTCCCGCGGGAAGCTCCCCGGCCTATTCTTCCCGAGCCCGATCACAACACCTCCCACACGCCACCTTGGGAAAAAAAAAAAAAAAGGCGTAATCAGTCATGGAAAAGCGTGACTTAGTGGGCATTCAACTTGTCTCCTTGGGAGACAGACGAAGGGCCCGAGAGTCTAGGAAGAAAAAAGCTTTGTGTGGCTCCCGAGCTAATGAGCCGAGCTCCCCTCCAGGAGATGCCCTTGAAGGAGGGCTGCTGGAATTCAGAAACCCCGAGAACACGTGAGATCCGGGAGCGATGTTTTAAAAATCGGATTGACATTCAGCTCAAAAGAAAAAGCCCGCAGCTGTTGTTCATGAGCCGTCCAATTTCATTGCCGTTGAAAATACTCAACGGTAATATGTGCAATGGTCATGCCAAGCACCAGTACTTTACAAGGTTGCGAAATGCTTTCGTACGTGCTGGGAGAAACTGAAAATAAAATAGACTCCCCCTCCCCCCGGAATTCAGTGCAGTGTTGGGTGTGAAAAGCCTTACTTGTAAGCCTTGACCAGCGATGTTCAACTGCTGTGATGCAAGATTTTTTTAAAACATGCAGTACCTGTTTAGTCAGGGGTACTGACTCCTTTTGCCTTACATTGTCAAATTTTAAAATGACAGCAACCAACACAAGAATAGCGTGTGAATTAATCAAAATTATACATTTTTTGTCAGATCAGTAAAAAATATATTTTTGGCGTCTCGCAAAATTTTAGTAACTAGTATTTTTTCTGCCATGAGGTGGAAAAGGTTGAAAATGGCTGGAATAAACACTGACACATCCAAAATAATTTTCTACACTCACGATTTTGGAAAACCTCCACCCCGACGTCAAGCCCTCGCACTCGGCATCCAATCAACATTCACGGAACTTGTCTCGCTGAATTTAGAATTTAAACTCCACCTATCTCCAGTTGACACAGTTCACACGGCAGAATACAAACAATAACACTGTATAGCATTAAAATAGGAGTAATGATGCAATGAGAGGCTGTGTGTGTGGGAAGCCTGTGTGAATAAAGGGGGTTCGTAGAAAGGAAAACAATATTAAAAAACAGAGTGATGGGAATGTGCTACCATCGAGCACAACACTCTGCTCTTAGCGCCCTGAAGGCCAGGACGAAAATGAGAGTACCATGGGCTAGTAAACAGAAGCTGGTCAATTCATCAGTGGACACCAACCACTCCTGGCCTGAGCTCTAAGTACTATGATAAGCACCATGGAGAGTTACACAAACCTGGATGGTAGTTAACATTGTCTGAGTTCTCAGTGGAGTTCAAACTAAAGAGAATCTAAAATAGTGAAGGTAATCAGCCCCCAAGCACACAGGGAAGGGTCCGTATAAGCAGATAAGGCTGTTCTAGGTTTCAAGGCCAAAAGAGCCTGTTCTGCATAAGTCCTGTGCCCCTGTGACAGACGAAGTCCCCCTCAGAGCCACTGAGTTTCTCAGATTACAGACTTTGTACAAAGGCACCACTTAAAAGTCGTGAAGTGCTAGAAGATTGAATTTAGCCATGGTCTGGTAGAGTTATCTGTGGAATACAAGGGAAAAAATGACATGAAAAGATCTATTAATGTAATGCACACAGCCACATTACCAGGACTAATGAGGTTCCCAGATACAAGATCAATATAGGAATAGCCAATTAGAAAAAGTGATTTAAAAGGATTCCATTAAAAATAGCAATAAAACTATTAAATATTTAAGGATAAATTGACAAAAGATGGGCAAGGCCAATATGGAAAATTATATATATACAACTGTATTGAATAAACACATTAAAGAAGACCTAAATCGATGGAGAGCTGTTCTTTATTTTCAGATAGGAAGAAAATATTATAAAGCTGTCAATTCTTTTCAAGTGGATCTGTAAACTTAATATTTAAAATTAATATTTCAATAGGATTTTCCGTGGAATTTGACAAGGTGATGGTAAAATTGAAATGATAAGTCTATTCCCTATCCATTAAAAAAAAATTCACTTGCTAGAACAAAGCCAAGAATACCCACAGCTATTTTGAAAAATGAGGTGTGGGACGTGCCCATAAGTTAGCATGATTCTGTGTAACATCATGCTAATCAGGACTCTGTTGCATTGGCACGACAATATACGAATCAGAAATGGAACAGAACAGAGTCCAGAAACAAACCCCATGCATCCGGAAATGGAGCATATGACAGCACTGGCATAACAAATCAGTGGGGAGGTGATAAGCTCTGAATGATAATAAATGATGCTGAAATAATTACTTAACTGGTAAAAAATGTGATCCTTATATCACATCACACAAATAAGTATCAGGTAAACTGAACACCTCGATCAGAAAAGCAAAACTTTAAATACTTTAGTAAAAAATATAAAATATTTTTCCGACATTGAGATAAAGACAAACAAGAGAGCCCTGGCTGGTTTTGCTCAGTGCACTGAGCACCAGCCTGCAAACCAAAATGTCACCAGTTCGATTCCCAGTTAGGACACATGCCTGGGTTGCAGGCCAGGTCCCCGGTAGCGGGTGCATGAGAGGCAACCACACATTAATGTTCCTCTCTCTTTCTCCCTCCTTTCCCTTCTGTCGAAAAATAAATAAATAAAATTTAAAAAATAAAATACATTTATTAAAAAAGAAAAACAAGAGAAAGAAACACTAACCACAAAAGACTGATGAATTTGTCTATATTTTTTAAGAAGTCACTTCTACACCACAAAAGATGTTATAAAACAAAACAAACAACAAACCACAGATTGGACAAATATATTTGCAACACATGTAACCAGAAAATTATTCAGAATATATAAAGAAATCTGATCAATTTACAATGATACAAGTCAATACAAAAAATACGCAAAAGGATATAGGTAGGTAGTTCACAGAGGAAGGTATGAAAAGACACTTAACTCACTGGAAATCAGATACTATGCCACATCCACTAAATTGTCAGAAATGAAAAGTGTAACAATACCAAGTGACGGAAGGGAGTGAAATGGCATGACCACTTTGGAAAATGTGTAAGAAAGTGGGTGAATGGAAGATGAGCACAGCCCTCTAACCCAGCAATTGATCTTCCGGTGCCTACCCTTAGGAAACACTTGCATAGGTGAGTGAGGAAACAGGTACAAGAATGGTCTTTGCAACATTGTAATCAGGAACAACCGAAATGCCCATCAACAAGAGAATGGGTGGATACATTGTGATATAGTCGTATCCGGGAGTACTGTGCAGCTGTTAAAATGCGTGATCCAGAGCTACATTTAACAACCGTCTACAGTAGTCAGGGTCCAGTTAGAAAATAGAAGGCATGGCAGTTATTACAAACACAGGAGATTTAATGGAGGAATTGGTTATCCAGGTGTTGCAAAAAGGAAGAAGATGACAACTCAGAACCCAGAAACTGCAGGAAGGTGCTATATACCCCTAGCACTGGGAGAAAAAATGAGGAGGGGGTGTTTGTTACTGAAGCTCAGAGACTCAAGGAGGGGCCAGGACTGGAGCTGAGGGTATGGAAGAGAGGTTTTGCTGTGTCAGGAAAAAAAAAAAAAACACCAGAAGAAGGGAAAGAGCAAAAATGAAAGAAAAACTGAAGTCTTCGCTCCTCATCTCCATACCTCCTACTGGCAGAATCTAAAGGAAATCGACTGGCAAAGGAGCCTGAGAAATACAGACTATGGAGGGGTGGGTCCTGGCCGGGAAGCAACAGGTAAATAGCTAGCACAATGATGAGCTCTCAAAAACGTAAAGCTGAGCAAAAAAAAAAAAAAAAAGAAATGAGTTGCAGAATAATATATGCAGTATAGTAATGCCACTTCACATGTAAAGAATGAAAACATGCAGATGAATGAATGCTACATTGTTTAGGACAACATTCATGTATAATCAAAGACAAAAACCTGCATGGGAACGACAGCCATCAAGTTCAGGACAGAGGTTACCCCAGGAGGGAGAGAATAAAGGAACCAGGAAGCATCAGCTCTGTCTGTCATATTTTATCTCTTGGGGGAAACTGACACAAGGGTGGAAAGGTTGATAGAGTTGGGTGGTGGGTACCATTAGGGTAGTCTCTGTATTTTACTGCCTATTAAAAAATATCTCAGCATTGCCCTGGCCCAGTGGCTCAGGTGGTTGGAGCATCGTCCTGTGCCCCAAAAGGCTGCGGTTTGATTCTGGGTCAGGGCACATACCTAGGTCGTGGGTTCCACCAGCTGGGTCACTGATAGGAGGCAACCGATCAATGTTTCTCTCTCTCTCCCTCTCTCTCTCAAATCAATAAATATATCCTCAGGTGCAGATTTAAATATATATCTATATCATCATTGTAAACCAATATTTGTCCCAAGGCATTCTGGCTGATACAAAAAGCCTCTGCAGGCTGGGTCAGCAGCAGATCACAGGGGCTGGGTGGAGCTGGAGGGACTGAGTGGGCGGGGACCGTCAGCCACACCCTCCCCCTGACCTGGTTTTGAGATAAGCTGGTC